GATTAGGTTAGGTTAAGGTTGGTTAGGTTAGGGTTAACTGGTTTAGTTAAGATTGATTAGCATTAGGGTGATTAATCTACAGGTTGTAAAATAGGGCGTGTGATACTCAGGTGATCCAGGCTCTTGATAGCCCATACAACACAACCAAACGTATAAAGGTATTTTAACTCAGTGTGTTTCATGACAAAAATAATAATGTTGAAGTTATTATGTAATGACCTCAAGCTGTAATGTCTGGTGGTGACGTAAGGAGAGTGAGTCAGTGTTCCTGTTGTTTACAAGATGAAACACTCAAGAGTCGAGCACAAATAAAGGCTTTAAAAGAAATCCAAATTACGGGATACGCCTTCTCAAGTCTCCACTAACAAGGAGAGGGAAAATGTCTACTTTAATATTCCACAAAACACAAATATATAATATTCCTCTACACTAATTAGTATTATTTTAGAGACCATTTTTCGTACCTGTGACCACTAAGGTGTTTTCTGAAGTTACCGGACCATTCATAACTTGTACCTGGACCACTTAAGGTGTTTTCTAAAGTTACCGGACCATTTATAACTTGTACCTGTGACCACTTAGGTGTTTTTCTAAGTTACCGGACCATTCATAACTTGTACCTGTGACCACTTAGGTGTTTTCAGTTACCGGACCATTCATAACTTACGGAGGCAGTTTAATATTTGATTTGGCTAACAACCAGATAATTTTATTCACCACAGACACACACTCCACCACCACCACCGTATTTAACCAATTGTATTTCTCACATTGTATCTAATGCCAGCACTTTGAACTAGCAGCTGAATAAAATCATTTGCCGTTAACCAAATAAATATTAAAAGTGGAGTCCCTGTAGTGAAGGATTGGTCCCAAACACCAGCCCAGGTCAGGTCAGGTCGTCTTGTTTTCTGTGTCAAGTGACCTTCCTGGGACCATCAATAGTTGGTTAAATATAAATGGATGATGGTTTCACACACACACACACACACACACACACACGCACACGCACACGCACACGCACACGCACACACACACACACACACACACACACGATCCACCCTCTTCCTCCACCACCCACATAGTTCACTTCAAAATCATATTCCTCTTCTCGACAGGGTCTTCAAGCATCACCAAAGAAACTCATAACTAAGGTCAACAGACGTAAAAATATATATATATTCACTTCAACAATTTCGCCCTTTTGATGAAATTTGTCTCTCCGCTTTTCGTCACGTTATAGAGTGTGGTGTGTGTGTGTGTGTGTGTGGTGTGTGTGTGTGCGTGTGTGTAAGTGTGTGTGTGTCACAGTATAAACATCGCCTTTAAGAATATATTACATCGAGGAAAACAACAGATGGCTCTGGGTTAAGTCTCACAACATCAATAAGTATATGTTACTGTACAGTCACGGAATGAATTCCGAACTGACTGACTGACTGACTGACTGACTCTGACTGTCTGGTGAGGTGTGTTGTTTATCTCATGTGGGTTCGAGACTGCTTCAGTTTGGGAGGATCGAACTTTGACTTCGATGTACAAGTGTGGGGGATTACTGAAGAATAGAATTAGTGGGGGTTCACGTTTTGTCGTCCATATACAAACACCATCATCACCACTAGCACCATCATCACCACCATCACCATTAGCACCATCACCACCACCACTATCATCACCACCACCATCACCACTAGCACCATCATCACCACCATCACCATTAGCACCATCACCACCACCACTATCATCACCACCACCATCACCACTAGCACCATCATCACCACCATCACCATTAGCACCATCACCACCACCACTATCATCACCACCACCAGCAACACCACCATCATCACCACCACCACCATCACCACGAGCACCATCATCACCACCATCACCATTAGCACCATCACCACCACTATCATCACCACCACCACTAGCACCATCATCACCACCATCACCATTAGCACCATCACCACCACCACTATCATCACCACCACCATCACCACTAGCACCATCATCACCACCATCACCATTAGCACCATCACCACCACCACTATCATCACCACTACCAGCAACACCACCATCGTCACCACCATCACCATTAGCACCATCACCACCACCACTATCATCACCACTACCAGCAACACCTTCAACACGTCACTTAAATCTCATCCGGGGTAAATCTTATTCGTTCCAACCTTCCTCAAGCTTCCGGCACCATCCATCTTGGCAGCCACCAACGTCTACGCGCGCGCACACACACACACACACACACCATAACCACAACACACACACACACACACACACACACACCATAACCACACACACACACACACACACACACACACACACACACACACACCACAACCACACACACCACACACACACACCACAAACCACACACACACACACACCACACACACACACACCACAACCACACACACACACACACACCACAACCACACACACACACCACACACACACACCACAACCACACACACACCACAACCACACACACACACCACACACACACACACCACAACCACACACACACACACACCACAACCACACACACACACCACACACACACACACCACAACCACACACACACCACAACCACACACACAAACACACACACACACACACACACACACACACACACACACACACACCACAACCACACACCCACACCACAACCACACACACACACACACACACACACACACACACACACACACACACACACACACCACAACCACACACCCACACCACAACCACACACACCACACACACACACACACACACACACAACCACACACACACACACACCACAAACACACACACACACACCACATCCGCTACAGGTCCCTTCTGCAACCGAGTCATCCGCGAAATACGCACTGCAAAGAAGTCCCACTACCCAACCAAATTACAACACCTGAAGCAGACCAACATCAGTCAATGATATGGTAAGCTTAAAGAACTCTGTGGACTAAACAATAAGACACACCCCTCCCTTCCTTAGCCATCTCACTAATGTTGACGCACCTGAGCAATCAAATAACCATTTTGCTACTATATGCCAGACGCTCCTCCACACAGCCACTTCCTGCTTACCTACCAGCCCTTCCCACTGACTTGAGAGAAGAATTTGAAGTAGCAAAACGCCAGGACAAACTAAAATTAAAACGCTCTACCACCCATTGACTTACCAATGAACTCTTCAAGGAGTTCTCCCCGGAGCTTGCTAAACCCTATGCCCCATCATCAATGCTTCTCTCAGCCAAGCCAGATGCCCAGATGACTGGAAGACCTCTTGTGTATCACCAGTGCCCAAGTCAACCAGCCCACAATCCTTAAATCAGCTACGACCTATTGCAATCACCCCAAAACCCAGCCTAATCTGTGAAAGTTTTGTGTTCGACTGGGCTTATGCTGATATTGCAGGAGTCGTAGACCCTCAGCAATTTGGCAATATGAAAACTTCTCCACCACTCACTGTCTTGTCAGCTTTCTCGATTACATATACCGCCATCTCGAGAAACGAAAAACGTCTGTAGCTGTCGCCTTCATTGATTTCACTAAAGCATTCGACCTGGTCGACCACAATATAATCATCAACAAAGCTATTGACCTCGGGCTTCGGAGAAATCTTATACCATGGCTTACAGACTTCCTCAGTGACCGACGCCAAGCTGTACGCTTCCGAGGGGCTGTCTCCACCTTTCAGTCACTCACCTGTGGCGTCCCCAAAGGCACCAAGATGGGACCACTCTGCTTCCTTATGCTCATCAATGATGCCCTAAGAGAAACCCCCGCTCGCTGGAAATATGTCGACGACTCCACCATTGGGATCAGCGTCAACAATTCTGCTCCCGACTATACCGCCCTTCAGGATTTATTGATCAGTCTCCAAAACTGGGCCACCAACAACCATGTCACCATCAACCATACCAAGACCATGGTTATGCACATCAACCTCTCCTCCGACATTGTCCCACCTCCTTCCATTACTCTAGGTCCGAACACACTCCAGGTTGTAGATTCCACGAAGCTCCTCGGCGTCACCATAGACAACAAGCTAAATTGGAAACCACACGTCAGTGAAGTTGTCAAATCCTCCAGTTTCCGTCTCCACCTCCTCCGCCGACTCAAGTCCCTCGGAGTTCCTGCACACGAACTCCTCAGTGTTTACACAACATTCATACTTCCCAAGCTCACCTATGCCTCCCCCACCTGGTCTTCCTCCCTAAATGCCACACAACGTAAACACCTAGAAAAAGTGCAAAAGAGGGCATGGAAGATTATTCTCTCTCCTTCCTACTCCACATATCAAGAAGCGCTCAACACACTGACCCTTTCGACTCTCACTGACCATCACCACGACCTCATCTGCAAATTTGGTAAGAAGCTTCTTCACCATCCTCGACACCGGCTCCTACTACCACCTGAGATCCCTAGTCCGAGAATTGCTGTTCGACACCACAACCGCATCCAGCCCATACGTGCACGAACTGATCGCTATAAGAACAGCCCAGTCCCAACCATTGTAAAATTTATCAGCCAACGCCAATAAATCAGTGCCTTCACTCCCAGTAAATGCTACTCCTTACTGTCACACTATGTTCAGAATGAACTGTAGTTTGAGCTTTTCCCCATCTAGTTATTATATGTCTTATTTGTATCCTTTACTTGTATATTATTTGTAATTCGAAACCCATTCCCCAAATATGTAACTGTATATTTTCAGCCTTCTGGCTGCCAAGCTCTTTCAATAAACCGTTAATTATTATTATTATTATTATTATTATTATTATTATTATTATTATTATTACACAGCATCTGAAGGCTACCAGCACACAGCTGAAGGTACCAGTATACAAATGAAGGTACCAGCACACACCTGAAGTCTATACCAGCACCAGTACACACCTGAAGGTACCAGTACACACCTGAAGGCACCAGCACACACCTGAAGGATACCAGCACACACTTGAATACTATACCAGCACCAGCAGACATAGCCAGTAGCCATAACACTGTAGACATAATCCTAATAAACAACTGCTCAGTACTCACGATGTTGAAGAGTGTGAAGACATATTTCTCAACCTCGTCCTCCCCGTGGAAGGCGATGACGGTGTGGTCGACAGCCACCGTCAGCTCCAGCCACTTTTGAGGGTCAGAGACGTTCAGGGCGGGGCCAAAGGACACCTCTGTTAGCCCTGATGACCCTGAAGTCAGAAACAACACAATAATTACGGGAATATCTTCACAAAACACAAGAAATAAACAAATGGAAAATAGAGTTAAAATAAAAATGAAGGTTAAATGATGTTAAAATTAACAACTAAAAGTAACAATTAACAACTAAAGGTAACAATTAACAACTAAAGGTAAATTAACAACTAAAGGTAACAATTAACAACTAAAGGTAACAATTAACAACTAAAGGTAACAATTAACAACTAAAGGAAACAATTAACAACTAAAGGTAACAATTAACAACTAAAGGTAACAATTAACAACTAAAGGTAACAATTAACAACTAAAGGTAACAATTAACAACTAAAGGTAACAATTAACAACTAAAGGTAACAATTAACAACTAAGGTAACAATTAACAACTAAAGGTAACAATTAACAACTAAAGGTAACAATTAACAACTAAAGGTAACAATTAACAACTAAAGGAAACAATTAACAACTAAAGGAAACAATTAACAACTAAAGGTAACAATTAACAACTAAAAGTAACAATTAACAATTAAAAGTAACAATTAACAACTAAAAGTAACAATTAACAACTAAAGGAAACAATTCACAAACTATACTAAATATAATTTTTTATTATTATTATTGAAAACATTAAGGTTAAAATGGCTCCACTATCCAAACATTGAGGTGACGGGCGTTAAGTGAGAGGTAGACGGGTGAGAGGTAGACGGGTGAGAGGTAGACGGGTGAGAGGTAGACGGGTGAGGGGTAGACGGGTGAGAGGTAGACGGGTGAGAGGTAGACGGGTGAGGGGTAGACAGGTGAGGGAGAAGACTTACCTGCCGCTACTTGAGTCTCCCATAGGTCAGGTGAGTAGCCGTTCCACTCATCGCCTTCAAAGGGGTCCACAACGCTAGAGTGAGCTGGTGGGGGAGAACGATAGTTAACACACATACAGTTAGTTCTGACTGTTATAGATTACCACTAGTTACATACATAAACATACGCACATACAGTACACACACACACACACACACACGTACGGTCACCATTTTCAACTATATGAACAAAAAATCTATGACAACTTTTCTAATGATGAAATTATTATGAGTTGTAACCTTTAATAACCCTTCAGTAACTGGTAATACCAAACAATTATTAATAAAACAATAAATTAGTTGATAAAAAGTAAAATATTTAGTGTCCGCTCTGAGATGAATAAAAGGAACACAAGAATGGAGGAAACTGCAGCGGGCCTATTGACCCATACCGGACAGTACCATTTACACCCAACCCCTATTGCTCATATAAGCATCCAACCTATGTTTGAAGCTATTCAGCGTATTCGAGTTAATGATGATATTTGGAAACTTGTTCCATTCATCCACTACTCTGTTTCCAAACCAGTGTTTACCTATTTCACGCCTAAATCTAAATTTGTCTAATTTAAAACCATTGTTACGAGTTCGCTCTTGGTTGGATAGTTTGAGTACCTTTGTAATGTCCCCTTTGTTTAGCCCTGACTTCCACTTATACACCTCTATCAGGGCGCCCCTCGCTCTACGTCTCTCGAGAGAGTGCAAATTAAGATGCTTTAACCTGTCTCTATACTCAAGGTTCCTAATGCCCGGGATTAGTCTTGTCATTCTCCTCTGAATTCTTTCTAGGGATTCTATATCCATTCTGTAATACGGTGACCAGAATTGAACTGCGTAATCCAAGTGAGGTCTCACAAGCGCAAGATATAGTTTTAGGATGACTTCTCCAGTCTTGTAACTAACACTCCATTGTATGAATCCAAGTACTTTATTAGCCTTGTTACGAGCAAATACACATTGTTTACTTGACTTAAGATTCCTACTTATCATTACTCCTAAATCTTTCTCGCAATCGGATTTCTCAATAACATTGTTCTTCATCTGGTATCTGGTTTCCCTGTTTACATCTCCTAAACTGAGTACTTTACATTTGTCCACATTGAATTTCATCTGCCATTTTTCAGACCATCGAAAAATTTGTTTAGATCTTCCTGTAGTTTTGCGGAGTCCTCGTCAGATTTAATAACACGTCCTATTTTAGTGTCATCAGCAAATTTACTTATGTTGTTGTCTACGCCGATATCTATGTCGTTTATGTATATAATAAATAATAATGGTCCAAGTACTGAGCCTTGGGGAACTCCACTAGTGACGTTGCTTCGATGGGATTTAGTGCCGTTAATGCTCACTCACTGTTTCCTGTCTTGTAACCACGCCCTAATCCACTTTAAAATATCACCTTTAATGCCATGAGCCTCCACTTCTCTTATGAGTCTTTCGTGGGGGACTCTGTCGAAGGCTTTGCTAAAGTCGAGCTATACCACATCATATTGTGCCCCTCGTCCACTGATTCGAAAACTGATGAAAAGAATGTTTGATGTGAACAATATGGACTATCATATGGCTGGGATAAGTAGTGAGGATGATAGACTTATTTACATGGTTGGATATGGTCACTGATTGCTCAATAGGATTGTTTGGACAATAGTTAGCTTTGTGTGATAAGTTGTGAATGAACGATGCTGGTGACTCCATGTGGCCGGAAGTTCAATGACGGCGAGACAATGGTGACGAGTGTGAGAGGCGAGTCTTGTATACATTGTGCTGGGACACCCTCCTCCTCTTCCTCCTACAGCTCCTCATTCTTCCTCCTCCAGCTCCTCCTCATCCTCTTCTTCCTTCCCCTCTCCCTCTTCTTACTTCTCCTCTCCCTCTTCTTGCTTCTCTTCCTCTTCTTGCTTCTCCTCTCCCTCTTCTTACTTCTCCTCTCCCTCTTCTTGCTTCTCCTCTCCCACTCTTCTTGCTTCTCCTTTCCCTCTTCTTGCCTCTTCTCTCCCTCTTCTTGCTTCTCCTCTCCCTCTTCTTACTTCTCCTCTCCCTATTCTTACTTCTCTCCTCTTCTTACTTCTCCTCTCCCTCTTCTTGCTTCTCTTCCTCCACCTCACACTTGCCTGGTACATGTCGACGATAACTATATGGGGTTGGTTGGGTGGTACACACTTAGTGACACACACATGGTGTCGGTCACTCAGGTCAATTATCCCGTCTCACTAAACCATTTCATCTCTCTTGTCTTTGTTTATTAATGACATAATTTAGTTCATACCTTAAATGTGTACAGATCCATGCAGGACTAATTAGGGGACGGATGAAACTGACGTGTACCGTGTACCATGTTATAACTGATGTGTACCGTGTACCATGTTATAACTGATGTGTACCGTGTACCATGTTATAACTGATGTGTACCGTGTACCATGTTATAACTGATGTACCGTGTACCATGTTATAACAGATGTGTACCGTGTACCATGTTATAACTGATGTACCATGTTATAACTGATATTACCGTGTGCCATGTTATAACTGATGTGCCGTGTACCATGTTATAACTGATGTGTACCGTGTACCGTATTTATAACTGATGTACCGTGTACCATGTTATAACTGATATTGTACCGTGTACCATGTTATAACTGATGTGTACCGTGTACCATGTTATAACTGATGTGTACCGTGTACCATGTTATAACTTGATGTGTACCGTGTACCATGTTATAACGATGTGTACCGTGTACCATGTTATAACTGATGTGTACCGTGTACCGTATTTATAACTTGATGTGTACCGTGTACCATGTTATAACTGATGTGTACCGTGTACCATATTATAACTGATGTGTACCGTGTGCCATGTTATAACTGAGTAGTATTACCGTGTACCATGTTATAACTGATGTGTACCGTGTACCATGTTATAACTGATAACACCATATACCATGTTATAACTGATGTGTACCGTGTACCATGTTATAACTGATATTATTACCGTGTACCATGTTATAACTGATATTGTACCGTGTACTATAATCATAAATAATATCATATATTCAATATGTACGTCGTAATTATATAACTATTATACCGTATACCATGTATAACATTATGTACCGTAATACCATATTTATAACATTATACCGTATGCCATATTTATAACAATGTATACCGTAATACCATGGTATAACGATATTGTACCGTATACCATGTTATAACTGATGTACCGTGTACCATGTTGCGCTTTGATGTGTACCGTGTGCCATGTTATAACTGATGTACCGTGTGCCATGTTACATAACTTGATGTGTACCGTGTACCGTATTTATAACTGATGTGTGTATACGTGTGCCATGTTATAACTGAAGTGTACCGTGTGCCATGTTATAACTGATGTGTACCGTGTACCATGTTATAACTGATGTGTACCGTGTGCAAAAATGTTATAACTGATGTGTACCGTGTGCCATGTTATAACTGATGTGTACCGTGTACCATGTTATAACTGATGTGTACCGTGTACCATGTTATAACTTTGATGTGTACATGTACCCATGTTATAACTGTGTGTACCGTGTACCATGTTATAACTTTAGAAGTGTACCGTGTACCATGTTATAACTGATGTGTACCGTGTGCCATGTTATAACTGAAGGTGTACCGTGTACCATGTTATAACTGATGTGTACCCGTGTACCATGTTATAACTGATGTGTATAATGTACCATGTTATAACTGAAGTGTACCGTGTACCATGTTATAACTGATGTGTACCGTGTACCATGTTATAACTGATGTACCGTGTACCGTATTTATAACTGATGTGTACCGTGTACCATGTTATAACTGATGTGTGTACCGTGTACCATGTTATAACTGATGTACCGTGTACCATGTTATAACTGATGTGTACCGTGTACATGTTATAACTGATGTGTGTACCGTGTGCCATGTTATAACTGGAAGTGTACCGTGTACCATGTTATAACTGATGTGTACCGTGTACCGTATTTATAACTGATGATGTGTACCGTGTACCATGTATTATAACTGATGTACCGTGTACCATGTTATAACTGATGTGTACCGTGTACCATGTTATAACTGATGTGTACCGTGTGCCATGTTATAACTGATGTGTACCGTGTACCGTATTTATAACTGATGTGTACCGTGTACCATGTTATAACTGATGTGTACCGTGTACCCATGTTACCAACTGATGTGTACCGTGTGCCATGTTATAACTGATGTGTACCGTGTACCATGTTATAACTGATACCATGTTATAACTGATGTGTACCGTGTACCATATTTATAATATTGTACCGTATTACCATGTTATAACTGATGTGTACCGTGTACCATATTTATAACTGATATTGGCCTGCCGTGTACCATGTTATAACTGATGTGCCGTGTACCATGTTATAACTGATGTGTACCGTGTACCATGTTATAACTGATGTGTACCGTGTACCATGTTATAACTGATGGTATTACCGTGTGCCATGTTATAACTGATGTGTACCGTGTACCATGTTATAACTGATATTGTACCGTGTACCATGTTATAACTGATGTGTACCGTATTACCATGTTATAACTGATGTGTACGTGTACCATGTTATAACTGACCTTGTACCGTGTACCATGTTATAACTGATGTGTACCGTGTACCATGTTCTAACTGATGTGTACCGTGTACCATGTTATAACTGATATATTACCGTGTACCATGTTATAACTGAAGTGTACCGTGTACCATGTTATAACTGATATTATTGCCGTGTACCGTATTTATAACTGATGTGCACCGTGTACCATGTTATAACTGATGTGTACCGTGTACCATGTTACTTAACGATGTGTACCGTGTACCATGTTATAACTGATGTGTACCGTGTACCATGTTATAACTGATGTGTACCGTGTACACGTATTTATAACTGATGTGTACCGTGTACCATGTTATAACTGATGTGTACCGTGTGCCATGTTATAACTGATGTACCGTGTACCATGTTATAACTGATATTATTACCGTGTACCG